GCCTTCAGAAAGCCTAAAATCCTTTCCTGCCTCACATTCAGGCACATGTGGTTTCAAGGTGATGAAACCTTGAAAAAAGAGAAAAGCATCAGAGAATGCATCAGAGATGCTCTTTCTGCAGAGCTTGATGTTGTCCATGGTTGTATCTGGACTTCTTCTGGTGTGCCTTGGTGCACCATGGTGCACCCTTACACCCCAGCCCCGTCCTCAAGGCATCAGGCAGCCACTCGTGGGTGTCACAACCAGCCATGGCCTTGGCCACGTGCTTTGGTTTCTTCTCAAGGGGAGGGAACCGGCTCTCAGCCTGAGGCAGCCTGAGGCAGATGTAGAAGGCGGTGGGACCTGCAGCGGGATCTGCAAACCCCAAAACACTCTGCAGTTGCAGTCATGATTGCAGTCTCTGTTTCACCCTCTGGAACAGACCAGTGGTCCGAGTCCAGGAGGGTCACCCCTTTGTCCCGACCTCACAGCGGAACAGTGGGTGGGTATCTCCTGATGTGTTTCCAACAAGAGCATTAAATCCTTGCAGAGAGGTAATTCCCAGCTTTCCGGTAAGGATAACATTGACAGTACCTAATTAAAGGGTACTTTGAGCTGGGGTAAACATTTATATTCATTTCCTTCTCACACAGATGTCTGGTAAACTGACCTCCTAAGGCAAAACCATCTGGCCTCAGGTGGGAGGAGGATCTCAGCCAGCGTGGAGGACCTGACCCGTCTCTTGCCAATCATTTCCCAATCGCTTTTTCTGTCGGTGAAGTGGCATACATATGAGAGGCCCGTGGTATGGATATGTAGGTTTTATGGGCATTTTTCTTAGATGACCTGCATAATTACACTGCAGGCTTGTGGCTGCAGGCTCTGTTGTATCTCTGCTTTCCATCACGCATTCTGGGATCGTCCACGTATAAAATTAGTATGGGCAGTAAGCAGCAATAAGATGTTCCCTACTTGGATGGATGACATTAAAATTCAGTAAGAAACAGAGCTTTGGGTGAGTTTCCAAATTACTTGCAGGATTTCACGGAGGAGATTGTTATGGTATTGTAAACCCTTTTGGTGGGCAAACAGCCTAATGGAAGTTAGGTGGTTTTATTGCCTCGCAGTGCTCTTTCTGTTTTATGTGCTGTGCTGTGTAATCTTTTGTTATTAAATAATAAGCAAAATAAAAACAGTTGTTTGTCACAGCCAGCTTGTTTTTCAGAGAATTTACTCACTTTGAAAGTTCAGTCTGTGTGATCTCCAGCCCTGTCAGGAGCTATTATATTAAATCTTCTTTTAAATAGTTAAGCTGGAGGACAAACCTAGACGTTATTGTGCACATCTCAGCTGAGAGCAGAAGCGGATTCAGCAGGGAGCAGCCTCTGATGCCATGTACTGTGCCGTTAGTTTTTGTCGCGAACATGTCAAGATTACCTGCTTCCAGTGTATGTGTGTCGGCTGACGTGAGCGTTTGTGATCTGCATAATTTTTGAACTAGTTTGAAATGTGGATATAACACCTGGGGCTGTGTGAAATCTTTTTTTTTTTTTTTTCCTTTTTACAGATCACATTGCTGTTCAGAAAGTTGCTTATTTTGTTACTCCCCCCCCCCACAAAGTACTGTATTAATTTGCAAAGTTTGTAACGAAATTGCCCCGAACTAGAAATTAGCATAACTAGTGAACAGCTCCTGAAACACTTGCCAAACCAGGAGCCCCATTGCTTCCCAGTTGCAACATTAGATTTTAAAGAGAGGCCATTGTTGCTTTAGCATGTACAGAATTGTACCTTGTTGCAGGATATTGTTATTTATGGAATTTGTCAACCCTGAATTCAGACTGGACTTTGCTGGACCGGATTTTTCATGTGTAGTGCGTATGTGCACCTGTGTACCTTAGTAGCCTTTTACAGATGCGGTTGAGTCATGCACATTAAAAGTTGGATGAGACACTTCAGTTATTTTTTCAAGCTGCTCTTTTTATCATTAATCCTCAACCCATTCCAGCCTCAAAAGCAGTCATGCTCTTCCATGAAGGCACTTTTTTCTGCCTTCTGTGGTGCAGCCAGGCAGCAGAAGGAGCCTGTATCTGTAGCCATGGCAGCCA